ACACACACACACACACACACACACACACACACACACACACACACACACACAGTCAGAAGTTCTGTATCAGCATCAGGGGCTATTCTTCTCCAGACACCAGCAGGAAAGCAGACTTTTAAAGCCCACCAACATTCCCATTCAAACCACACCTGGTCGAGTTTGAAAACATGACTGGGAGGGGGTGGGATTTTAATTAGACACAATTAGAACCGACGACCACGCAGAGACCTGGATGCAGCCTCTGCTTTCTGAACAGGAGTGTGTGTGTGTGTAGGGAGGGGGGTGTGCTAATTAGGCTGGAGGCTGCTTCTATCCCTGTGACCTGCGGAGACCTCGAGCAAGCTGTTTAACGTCAGCACTCTGACGACTCAGACCGGATTCATTTGAAGCGGGATAAACAGACACCATTGCATTCACGGCGGCGTGACGAGTCGTCTGCGCGCCTCGAGGAGCTGATGTGAAAGGACAAACAGCAACAGGTGGTGAAAACACACGAGGTGGAGAGAGAACACCAAACAGCACAAAGCTCCTTTAAACAACAAATCAGTGAACAAAATGAAACAAAAAAGAAGGAAATGGTAACCCAAGCATTTGGTTGAAAWAATAATAATAATAAAGAAACAGCCCCAAAAAAACTTATATTTTGAAGGTTGATCATCATCTTGTCTTTAAGAGCACACAAGGAGCCCTCTACTGGCCCACAGGGATGGAGGTGAGGGGTTTGGTGAAGTGTTAAGATTTGTTAAAGTTGCAGATCTCCAGCTCCACTTTTACTTCTGAGGCTCTCAGTGTTTGACTTCTTCTTTGGYCACGAAGAAAAAGTTTATTTTAACATGCCTGAACGCTATAAACTCCATGCAGATTTATGGAAGTTGAAAATTCAGTGTTTTTCACATATTAAGCTGAAATTTGTTGTTTTGTGCTTTTGAAACAAAAGTCGTTTGACCTCATGATTGCGTGAGGGGAAGTAGGCCGGACTCAAAACCTCGCATCCCAAATGCACAGACTCTGGTTCCAAAAATACAACAAGTGCAGTAAACTGTTGGCAAAAAGAGAAGGTGGGACCAGATATAATGTGGAGCCATCTGCTTGAAAGCTCAGCAAAAATATGTTCCCCCCTTTTTTCTTTTGTTCCTCCTCCTCCCCCGGGTGGAGGTGGAGGCTGGCTGTTCCTTTGCTTTGCACTTCCTGTTTCCAACCATTGACTGTATATAAACTTAGCACAAAAATGAAGAAAATGTGTTTGGTGGATTATTTCTTTGTTGTTACAACGCTTATTGACAGTAAATCTTGTACTGCTAGAAAGTCTTTCAATTCCCTTTTAGATGGTGCCACATTTGTAAGGAACATGCATTTGGGGAATGAGCAGTAGAACTGAGCATGTGGGTTGTTCTCCACCAAACAACTTCTTTTGTTGTTATTATTGACACTTATTGTGAGCTTTTGGTACCCCCAGGTGCTTCCAATCAGGTTCCCAGTATAAGATTTACTGCTAAGAAGCATTGTTACAACAAAGAAATACTCATCAAACACAAATGTTCTTACTTTTTGTGCAAAATTTATTATAAACTAAGAGTCCCATCTGAAGCCAGCAGACTCTGACTTATGGAAGCCCCCATATTGAATGCCTGAATCCAGAGTCTGCCCACCAAAGGTGTGGAAATTTAGGTCCCCCCCCCCACCACACACACACACACAC